TATAATGGAATGTTAAATATAGGAATTCGGTGACAAAAGTTAGAAACATAATTGTTACAGCGAGTTAAAGATGAAGGCCGTAAGTACATATTGAAAATACAATATTAAGCTCATATTTGACCCCTATTTTCAAAATTTCATTTTTAAATAATCGAATCGACAACTTTTTATTTACATATTTTATTAACTTATATCTAAATTTACGGATATTTTGATATTTAGTTAAACTGAACATGGGCTAATTATTTAAAGTTTATAATATACGCACGAGAAACACGTGTTACGCGTCGTTTTTTCATTTAATTTGATGAGTAAAAATTTCCAAGCACACTCGGTCCCTATTAAATACCTAAGTCAACTCCATTATTGATCTTCTCCAGCGTAATCGATAATCCATCAATGGCCACTTCCTGCCGGTGTTCAGGCCTGCTCCATCCCAATTTCTCAAAAAGTTTTCAGCCTTTGGGCTCCCATCGGTTGCATTATAATCCAACAACCTCAAATCAGAAAAATAGAGGTTCGTTTCTGGGAGATCCAAATTTGAAATATATTCAAACCTTACGAAGAGACGAAGGAACAAAGATGTATGCAATTGCGTTTTAACTGTGTTATTTCTTGTGTATGATTTGACTGCAAGTTGAAACTTGTACTTTGTGCAGAAGGGAATTGGTTGTTGAAGCCACTCCAGATCCAGAAGCAGGGAATCTTCTTTCTTTTTGGCCCTCTGATAATCCGTGGTAAATAATTAACCTAATTATCCTAACTTTTTACGATAATTATTAAGTTCTGTATTTACTATTTATTGATCTTACAAATGTCGTGACAGGATCGCCGGGCTAGCTGGAATTATGGCAACAATTCCTTTTTTGATCCAACGGTTATTAACGTTGACAAGTGAGGATCAACTAACAACATATTCAATGTTAATGAGTTTAATATTTTGTTGTCGATTTATTATTTCCGTACTTGTGTACAGGAGATGTGGATGTGGCGGCCGAGACGGTGGAGAAAATAGCCGACTCCGTGGAGAAGGTGGCGGAGGAAGTTGATAAAGTGGCGGAAGATATAGAGGAGGCACTCCCTGAAGGTGGCTTAAAAAATGTGGTTAATTTAGTTGAAGATCTGGCTGAAGAAACAGCAAAGGATGCTCAAAAAGTTGAAGATTTGATGGACAAGGTTAGTTGGTTTCACCTTAATTTATTAATTTCCTACAGAGGCCTACATTTTCCAGAACCCTCTATTATTAAAATATTAAAATTTTTTGCTGGCAAAATTTAGTACTTTGGTAGGAATTTTATTAATTATTTTTTGATCGATAGAGATAAAGTGAGTCCTATTGGTGAGAAAAAAAATTCAAAAATGACGATTGAAATAGTGAAATAACGGTCAAAAAATTAATTTTAATTGATTTTTAATTCCTATCGAACATGCTCTTAAACGATAAAGATGAAAAAATTGGAAATATAAGATAAGCAATACAGATTGAACAACTAATTGCCGGAAAAAGACAAGTACAGGGCCACGTGAAGCAAAACTCTTAATTGCAGTTCATGTGATTCGCACTTTGATGTCATACATTTTAATATAATTAATAATCAAACTTGCCGACCATGAGAACGATTACATTGTCAGCTAATCGAGGGTCAAAGTCAAAGTCAAAATTAAATAATTAATATTAATCACATTTTCCTTAGGTTCGATAATTTTTTAATTATATATTTTAAATTTTTTTATCACAATCCACTAAAAAAATATAATTTTAATCCCTTTCAAACATACACAAAATCTATCAAACATCCTCTCTATTTGAAATTTCAGGTCGAAGAATTGGACGACAAAGTGGAGGCTTATTTTAACAACCAATCGAAAGACAACCCTACTACCTAAAGACGGTGGAATAGAAGAAGAATTGCTTTTCAATCTGACGGTGGGTCATAATTATATCACTTTAAGTTGGATGTTTTTCCCCCCTCCTTTCTAATGTTCAAATATTAATGCTAGTGTGTACTCTATTTAAACTTTATTGCTCGATTTCAGAATTTTGTAGTCTAATTCGTAGAGATGGACCTACAAATTCACATTCTTGTTCATGTTATGAGGATTGTCGATACAACGAAAAAGGAAAAAAAAAAGTGTTAATTTAAACAAACTTTACTTCTAATGCTCTATTTTTTAACTATATATTTTTCATCAATACACTATTTAAAAATATGTTCTTATGAAAACAATGTGGCTCAAACAAGGGCTAAATTAAGTAAAATTATTTTAAATATCTTATTTTCAATTCTTGTTCCAATACTCTAAGAAGGAGAAAAAATGAAAAGAATGAAAAATGAATTAGTCCAAAACTCTATTTACCAACTACAAATGTTTTTTGCCTTAAACCATT